ACACTTTTCATAATTTTACCAGAAGAAAAAGTTCGGGTAAAATCTTGCAACTTCATTCTCTACAAAACTCTCCAAAAGTCGCTCTCATTTACATGATTTTGAGGGGTTTTGGAGTAACTCCTGTAACTTCCTGCAAGTTCGTGTAAAATCCTGTAAGTTCATGGAGTATTGGATCAGAGCTAATGTTACACTGCGACCACCAACTTCAGATTAAAAAAGAGCTTAAAATAGCCAACCTGGAAAAACTAAGGAACTACTTTTCTATATACATACAATCCTGACTTTCAGAACGTCGTGGTTTCATCAGTTGCCCAGAACAGAAGTGAAAATGTCGTACAGTAAATCATTTTGATGAAGAGTTCTCATAGACGCATTGTTGTATTCATAGTAAAATAACACGATATTACGCCCCTCCAGGGCGGCCTATTTGTATCTATTCTGACAGCCAGGCTGCTATCAAATCTCTCAGTTCTAGCGAAGCAACGCCCAAAGTAGCCATAGAATGCAGGAAGACTCTCAACCTGCTGGCATCAAAATGCTCCTTGACTGTTGTATGGGTCCCTGGACATAGGGACATCCCTGGCAACTGCCTAGCCGACGAGCTGGCAAGGAGGGGGACGGAATTTTCTGTAGTCAATTCTGCTCGGAATGCGGGCATACCTCTAACCTCCTGCAAACACAAATAATAAAATTATAGTTTAAAAAACTAAAACCTCCGTATTATAATTTCCATTCGTACTGTCATCAGGTATGTAACTTGAGAATAGAAATCGCTGCATCTTTTAGGCGCATCAATATTACATAGTTACATCCCGAGCTAATAAAAGGAAGGTAATAATAATAATAAAAGGCGGAACTCGTTGAGGAGGTAAATATAAGGTGGGCTGTGGAAACCACCTGCCATACTACAAGGCAAATTTGGCCAAAGATTGATGTAAAGCGATCCATAGCTGTCACACGGTTGGACCGCTCCTCTCTCAGATTAGTTGTCGGGGTAATCACCGGACACTGCCTGATGGGCACACACGGAAAATGGCTAGGATTCCCCACCAACGATTTCTGTCGCAGTTGCAGACAACATGCGCAACCAATTCAACGTTCTCCACTTTTTGTACCATATAAAACGCACTCGGTGGTTGAATTACTAAGGGAGGGAAAGAACAAATGGCCAGCCCACGTGTGCTCCGCGCTCTGCGCGGGGCAGCCACTCTAACCTAACCTAACACTATATTCCAATTATGAGGGAGCACAAACTGAAATAGTATAGCTACTCGGAAATGTTTACACATACATATGTATACCTGTTGGCAAAATAATAACAGTTTGTCATTTTGACCAGTTTTGATTATTTTTCTTTACATTGAGTAATTTTTATTAATTTCATACAATGACTCTTATTTTAATTTTAAATCATTTTAATTTTCACTTTTCGAATCTACAATGTAATATATGATTGTTTGTTAGTTTGTTATATATTGGTATATTATGCTAAATTTCTTTAGTTTATGATAGTGCCTCTGAAAATGAAAGTGCCAAAAATGGCACTATTGTCCCTACTTTTCCATATCTGATCTGATGGTAGATAAAACTTAAAGACTTTGTAAAGAAATCATTATTTCCCTATCCGATTTTTTGCTGAATTTTCTAAGCTGAAATGTCTTTTATGGAATTTCGGAAGAAAATCGGCAGTGCAATGAAAGTAATGCTTAGATGTGAATAATTTTTTCACAATTTTCTAAGAATTTGCTTTCAGAAATCGCACAGAAAGTTCAATATGAGTTCGTGTCGAGCACTTCATAGGATTTACTTTGAAGATTCGTGAAGAAACCGTTTCTGAATTCGGAGCACTTCCGTTCCTACATATTGAAGATTTCATTAAAATTTTTTTGGGAATTTTGGTTTGCAGGGTGGTTTAACTTCAATACTAACACCAGCGTTGCCGCTTTGGAATTTTTAGCCAAAATTGGTATTTTTTTTCTTTATTTATCAAGTTTGGTAATTTGGTAATTTATTTTTCAACTTGGTAACTTTTTCGATTCGGTCTTACACGTCAATTGGTTCTGATTCGACATTAGTAAGTGTCCCGTAAGCGTTTTCTTTTATAGAAATATCAGGTAATCCTCAAAGTTTCGCAAGGTGAATGTTGTTCCAGCGTTCCTTGGCTACTAGAATGGTTTGATCTTTAACAAACTGTGTGAAAGTGTTATTGCTAAGTATATCCACAATGCCCTTTCCTGGAAGGTTTTGGGTGGTCCTACCTTTCCCTGTCAGTTCGTCAGCTTTGCAATTACCATCAATTTACCGTTGTACCCGCCAACCATATATAACGGGTGATTTTTTTGAGGTTAGGATTTTCATGCATTAGTATTTGACAGATCACGTGGGATTTCAGACATGGTGTCAAAGAGAAAGATGCTCAGTATGCTTTGACATTTCATCATGAATAGACTTACTAACGAGCAACGCTTGCAAATCATTGAATTTTATTACCAAAATCAGTGTTCGGTTCGAAATGTGTTTCGCAAACCCAATTGCTGCGAACGGCGACGAATCGACATTTCACGGTCTTCAGCAACACTCTCAGAAACAGACGCAATATTCTCTTCTGTACGCACTGTACGCATTCGTGTGGTTGGTTTAATGTCCAATAAAGTAAACTGAGTGCGAAACTTGGTCACAATCGCATTAATTGTTTGCTCACTTGGTCGATTATGTAGACCATAAATCGGACGTAAAGCGCGAAACACATTACCGAACACTGATTTTGGTAATAAAATTCAATGATTTGCAAGCGTTGCTCGTTAGTAAGTCTATTCATGATGAAATGTCAAAGCATACTGAGCATCTTTCTCTTTGACACCATGTCTGAAATCCCACGTGATCTGTCAAATACTAATGCATGAAAATCCTAACCTCAAAAAAATCACCCGTTATGAGTTGAATTCTACGTAAATATGCATGTTCTCGTTCAAAAAGTTACGGCATTCAGCGGGAGACTTCACTCTGTCTATGAGTGAGTCGAAAGCTTTCATTCAAGTGTTGAATTTTTGATATATTTTCTTGTCACTTGTCTACATACAGTGGTCGAAAAAATTATAGGCGCACCATATTTTGATAAGTTTTAACATATTACAAAAAATTACCAAACTTATTTTATGTGCAGAACAAACATACATATAGAGCCCTAACTGCCAAAATAACGAAAGCAACATTTTTTTCAAATATTTTTTTTTTTGTTTGCAGAAAGGCATCTAGATGCTCTAGGAATATTTCTGTTATTTTGGCGGTTAGGGCTTGATGTGTATGTTTGTACAGTTCTGCACATAAAATAAGTTTGGTAATTATTTGTTGAATTTGGTAACTTTTTTCGGTGATTTTGGTAAAAAATAAAAAGATTGTGTGGCAACACTGACTAACACATTAGCTTTCAAACTAATGAGAGGGTTTGTGTCTACGATAGTACCAATCGAAAGCTCGTATGTTTTGTACAGTACGACGGAAAAATGAATACGAGTTTCTACTCAAATTTGTAAATAAAACGTGATATTTCTACTTTAATGAATTATTTATTTGCTTTGTCTATAAAAATGTGTCTTATTTTACGTATGCATTTATATTAACATTTAATTTGCGTTGTAACTAATCGTATGAGTGTATTTGCAGGTGTGCGAACAATTGTGGTTAACTTGTATCGCCTTTTGCTTATTTTATGACTGCGTGTGTACGTTTGCTAAATAATAATACACTTAACTAGCGATTAACAAAAAATCATTATATTAAAAATCATGTTTTACTTACATACATACATATAAGTAAATAATTTAATCCTAATGATCACATAATTAATGCACATATATATGTAAGTATGTACACTTCCCTACACGTATTTATGTGCATACTATCTAGTACATTAAATGATTTTAAGTGACTTAATTTCATTGTAGCTTGTGGATGAGTTTTGTTTTTGCACTTTCACTGGACAAAATTCGCAAGGTATTCGATACTCAGAATGCATCCACTCTCGTTTCTCGCTGATAGTTCGATTTTGTCAATGTTTTATATGGAAAGGATATTTTTTACATCGGATGTGAGTGTTTTCGTAAGCTGCTAAGTATAGATTCAGCTCAACCCAAGCCCAACAGGTACTTGGGCAGGTACGTGATGGACGAGATGAGGCTATAACTAAATGTTAAGGATTTCAAGAATATTTGTAAGAGAAATTTTATTTCATTGGATTTAGTACCATTATATATTTCAAATGTTTATAGTTCAAGAGTAAGAGTATTTATAAATTGCATGTATTTATTTATATATATGTACATTGTTGTATTCACAGTTTTGTTCATTTATTTCCAAGCAAAGCAACCAGAAACCTTTCTGGTATCCAGCAATTTAATGTATGTTTGTGAACGTAAAGCATTGCCGCCACACTCCTTAGCGCGTAAATATGTAAAGCGCCTCCGGCACCGTCCACTTCTCAGTGGTTGTGGCTTCCTCTGCCGTGTTCTCCTCGCTGGAGTGGTGTTTCGTGTTCGTTATTAGTGCAAGTTTTGTTTGCCGATTACCGTTATTTAATAGCATATCCGCATTGTGTAATGGGTGGTGTCAAATTTGTTGGTCCAAACACCATTTGGTAAAATATTGAAGCATTGTGTTTATTAGCAAAATGGGTTAAGTTTAAATGAAAGTGATACATTTACAAAATAAATGGAATATGCATTTTTCAAACTAATCAAACAGGCCAATATTTTGAATACCTAGGGCCGATTTCATAATAAAATTAAATAATATTTTAAAATTTAAAGGATGCTTTAGGTAACATATTTATGAAAACACTTCTTGTTTAAAGTACATTTAAATGTCACTTTAACTAAATGAACTCTTTTGCAAAAGGAACTTTAAGTGTTTCATTATGAAATCGGCCCTTAAAACCGAATATGTGCTTTGGAGATATGTATGTGTAGTTGAGTAGCGATACATATGTTCTACATAGTTGGTTATTACATAATCTAAAGCAATTGTACTCGTATTTTCAGAGTGATTTAATTTAGTACTCGCGAAACAGCTGCATATGTGGTAGTAACGGCAGAAACTCTACAAAATAAGCAAAGATCAGTGATAGCACATATTAATTTACTTAAGTGTAGTCAATCTGGTTTTAAAAACAAAACTCAAGACCAGCTCGAAATGTGCCAATTGGTTTAGAAACATTTCCAGCATAAAGCATTCAAAATGCTCTGTCGAGAGTGACCAGGGTAGATATTATTCAAATTAATGAAAACCTAGCGAATTTCGTCCAACTCAACACCATTAACTGCGACTGCATTAATGAAAAGATAAAAATACTGTATTTTAGAAAAGATAAACCTTTACAAAATCAAAACGATGGCCATTGTTCCAGAACTAATAGTTTTTTTTTAGTATTCAAGTATTTGAATCCACTGAAGATAGCGGGGGAAAGGTGGCGGCCATCTTGGATCCTAAGTTGATCATTGAGCGTATCTGGCGTCATACGTACGGTGACCATCAGTACTTTATTTTAAAAGAAGGTGTTTTTTCTCATGATGATGTCTTCTGACTTTATTTGTTTTTCGAGAAATCTACTTTGTCCTTTTTTCAAAGCACTTCTAATCACTACACCACAACGCCTACATACGACTCCATTGTTAAGAGATTTTTTTTTTTGAATTTTGGTATCGATATTAGGGACATCGAGTATTTTTATTCCGATATTAATGAGTACCCGATATTTTTACAGCGATACTTCAAATGAGTTCCATATCGATACTTTCGCTTCGATATCGTGTCCCTAAGCGTGATGAATATTCCCATTATACAGTGTTCGTTAGTGCCCCTGCGTACCAGCTTGTTCGCTATGTTGTTTCCAGGAATAATTTTGTGCCCGGGAACCCCAGAGTGTAGTTTTTGTGCATCGCGTAGGAAAATCGTTTAAAGCCATTCTTCCTTGCTGCCTTCGATGAGGTGTTGTTGCAGTATAGATATTAAATCGAAGCTTCGTAGATGGTGTTGGAGTATTCTATAACAGCAGAGCAGACTTTTTAGTATCTCTTAATTTAGCTTAGAAGACATAACGGTACTTCAGTAAACGGAGGTTTATGATTCGAAGTGGTTAACCATATGGATACTGCTGTCGACTTTATTATTTTGCGGAGAACCCTCGCTGAAGATTGAAATAGGTCTAGTGTATAGCGTTTGCCCTTTAAAATTTGCTCCTAACGGGGATTCTTGCAAACTTGTTATCAAAGCAGGCTAGACTGAGGCTAGTCTCAAGAAGGACCGAGAGAGCATTAGGAGCTTTACTTGGGTTGGAGCGAAATGCCCTCGTGATTAGCACCCTTTTCATTTTGCTTTTGGACGTGTTTTTGGCCAGCGTTCGTCACAATACTGTAACCCCACAAAAACGAATGGACCTTACTTCAGTTGCAGCAGCTACACATACCTATGTATGTGGCTACAAGCCCCATCTTTTGCATTTACATAATGAAACTTGTACTGTATTTTTGTTTCTAAAATATGGTCACCATAGTTATACGCAAAAGACACTTTTTTTATTTATGCGGATTATCTCTATAATAAAATAACTAATTTGATACACTAAAGAGCTCTTGGCGATAAGATGAGAAAATTTTTAGGTTTTTTACTAATTTCAATAATAACCCGATGACGCTCTATTGCACATTTTGGATATTTTATTCTGAACTGATTGCCACGTTTTCAACAAGTCTAATTTTCGTAGTATGTGTTGTATTCTCCCAGATTGATTATACTACTTTTAATGAAGAACAAACAACAGCTTTGTTTAGTAGCAGACAAAGACCAGAAGCTACAGTACTACGCACGCTTTTTTAAAACTAACTTTTTTCAATATTTTATCGATTTGTGCGCATAGTACATGATTCAATAATAAAAGGATAGATAATTATTTATAACTATAATTATTGCCAACCGCGTTACGGCACTCCTTTACAAAAGGTTGCATTTACAAAGGACGGAGAAAGGGCACTGAATAAAATTCCTCGGTGCGAAAATTGTAGTAGAAAAGTACGCGGGGTAGGCAATTAATAGCGAAATCCCGTTGGTAAATTCTGATATATTTGCAGTTAATTCGACATTTTAAACGAAATAATAAGGAATCTAGGTATTTTATGTGCTATTTAGCGGCACTAAAACAGCAAAAGGTCTTAAAACTAAAGTAAAATTACCATAAGTTGTATGTAAACATCGAATTAAAAAGAGTATGTTTTCGTCAGATAAATGTGCTTTATATTCATATGTATACACAGGGCCGTAGAGAAAAAATCCGGTCCCCGTAATAAATATGGGCCGGGCCCCTCTTCTCGCCTACGAAATATTTAAACAAATTTCCAACGTTATCACAACATACTTGTTCAATACCAAAGGCCAATAAGCAGCTTTCAAGAAAACGGTAAAGAAAAAATTGCCATTATTTCGTGTGTGTTTCGAAGAAATTATGACACCTGATACGATATGGCTGTTGCCTCCCTCTTTCCTCAAGAAATAATGGAACGCCATATATTTATCTTACAAACCGGGGTCGCCTTGTGCTCTTTTTACACAAAAAACTTTAGAAAACCATAATATAAAGCGTAGCAAATTTCTTAAGAACTGCGTACTGCCTCAAGAAAATTTCTTAGCCCATCTTGTGCGTCATTTTATATGCCGTTTTTGCTTTTCTTAAGACCTGCATAGTGTCTTTACCCGCCAAAATAACGATTTTTTTTTTTTTAATTTTCTTTTTGATGCAGAAATGCTTCTAGATGCTCTGGGAATATTTCTGCATCAATGTGTTTCTATATGTACATACATATAACAAAAATAAATACGCATTTCTTGGCAGTTAAAAAATTCTTTCTAGGAACCATTTAAATACATACGATAGTACTATCGATGGTTTATTTACTTGTAGACTATCGAGGACTCAATAGTTTTTTAAAACTATCAAAAACTATCGATGGTGGAACTATCTATAGTTTTGCAACACTAATGTGAGAAGTTTTTATAGAAAAACTTCGTCTAAAGGGAGAATTGTTGTTGCTATACTGTTGTATAGATCAAATGAATACGTAAAATAGTTTTTATTAATTTAGTCAGAATCCGTTCCTTTAAGCTAAGATGGGCTGTATGTAAGAGAAGCGTCTTCTATAAATTTTTGATTTTCCCCTGTTGTATATAACCTCGACTCACTTTGAATATCGCTCTCCAATTTGTAGTTCAAAACACCCCAGTGTATATAAATAGATATTTTGCACATAAATAAATAGATATATTGCAGCTACTGTTTTCCAGTATAATTGAAGATAAACAAAACTGTTTCGTTGCTAAGTCAGCGGTGGTAGCGAGACAATTGTCAGATTATCGAACCTTTAATTATTGAATCATGCGCATAGTACAAAAAGTGTTAGAAGAAAAACATATACCATACTTTTAATTACTTTAATGGCATCTGCAGACATAAAATTTTACTTATATGCCAATTCACTTCATACATAAACGCTTTAAACCAATCCCAACTACAAAAACCGACACCAGACGAATCATTCACAATCTCTTGAACAAGTTACATACATATAATTTCATGCAACTAAATGTACGTACGAGCTGGTCAATCCGCGGTAGAGCCATGATTTCCATGATTTTGACGACCCATCATCTATTTTCGCCTCAACGTCTTGGCAGAAATGTCGTCTGTCATGCGACCGCCCGCTCTTGCAATCACAAAGCATTCGTTTCCGGCACTCCGCATCGCATGCTGGCCGAATAGGTGAGTTCTTCCAGTAATTTCTGAGAAAGAGAAAAATGTTTTACAAAATGTAAATATAAAATTGTCTATTTTCAGAAGCTATAGCCACTAGTATCTGAACTAATGAATAAATTTTGAACATCTGAAAAACTTAGCCCCAGTTGTTAGTCCCCAAAGCTGTGTTAATTACATAAGCCAATCTCAATCTTGTCTAGAATTTTATTATTTTTTAGAATACCACCAGTATTACTTAAAGAAATTCTTCCCACAGAAGAATCAGAAATAATTTTGGTGACTGTGGGGCTTAAGGAAGTAACTTTTTGTGGACCTGTCCATGGAGTCGTTGTACTCGCTTAATAATAATAAATAAAACATTTTACTATATTTAAACAACTACTTATAGGTGAAGCAAAAACATTAAGGTAGTGTCACACGATTGGTATATTTGTACAGATTTGTACAGTTTTTATATTGGGCTATTGGTACAAAGTAAAAAAAAAATCGGATCACAATTTTTATTGTAGTCACCACGATTGGTACAACACTTCTATTGGAAAATTTATAAGAATTTTGGTCATGATTGGGATAAAGTAAAATATTTATTTATTCGCACGATTGGGGTACGATTTGCACCAAATTTTGGGCAGATGCCCAATCGTGTGACACTGCCTTTACAAAAAGAGTATCAAAAACAAGTAGGGCTTTTTAAAAAGTGGCATGCAACTCCGTTGTGTTTGGTACAAGAACTTTAAAATTTTTATTAAAGTTGTATTTTAATACTTCTAACAAAAAGTATTTTAAATTAAATATTAGTAAATTAAATAATTAAGTAAATTGAAGTAACGATATATTTTGTTATAAAATTTGTCGAAATAACAGTTATCACAGTCGGGTATGGCTTGTAGGGTTAAACTTACTTGTAATATAAATCAAATAGTTCCTGATTATTCGCCATCTCATCAATTAAATTACTCCAATCCACTGGCCTGAGAGCCTTCATATTATATACCGCGCGAGTAGTATACAACTTATACCAAATTGGGTAATCGTAAAGGTTTGCTTCCTTTAAGTTCATGATCCAAGACTCGTGATCTATAACCAAACGAGTGGTAGTGTCATGATCCCCGTCCACATAATAAATGCGGTAACCCGGGTTGAGGTCATAATAAGGTGATACCGATGGCCCAATATATGCGATACTTGTGGGATGACCTACAACAACCAAACTGTAAAATCTCGTCAGCGTTAGAAAACAATTACTCACTTAGGTCGTGTGGATCGTAGAACATTTCGAATTCATCAAAGTGTGTGTGTCCATAGAATTGTGCCGTAATTGTGCTTTCGTATCGTGAAATGATACGATAAAAGTTGCGCGACCACACCTTTAAACAATCTGGATGACCTGGTGGTATGTGACCGATCACGTGCACTTTTTCATTGGAGAACTCAGCACTTTGCAGCTCATAAATGAACCATTGAAGTTCAGTTGCCGGATCCGTAGAGTTAAGCAGTAGCCACCTGTAAAATAAGGAAATTAAATTAGTAGTTGAGAATCAACATTAAAAGAAAGGCCGATTTGTTAGAGGGGAATTAACTCGCTTTAGAGCTCACCAATTTTTGTTGTTGCAATAGTTCATATTTAGAGAAATGATGCGGAAGCCTGGTCGGACCAGGACTGAGTAAAACGCGCCACGCCGCACAGTGTGCGAGACACTTTGCGGCAGCCATCGACGCCATTGTACATCCAACTCATCATAAAGCCATGATATAGAGATATCCACTTGGTTCACATAAGGTGGCGGAAAGCTATTCACCGGCGCACTTTCATGATTGCCCAACGCTGGGAAGATAGGCACACCCGGAAACTTTTCAGTCATCTGACGCACTGTTTCTTTGATGATCTCCAAGTTCTCTTCTTTGGTCTGATTCCAAACATCGTGTGGCGGCAGATCACCAGTCCACAGAATGTAGTCAATGTCCTTGTGCGTGTCCGCAATGTGTTCCAACATATTATCCACAGTTCGCTTCGGCGTATCGCACTTACGATAATCTCCCCATTTCCCAGCTGCGTCATTTGGATTAGACGGACGTCCGCTGCTCAGTCGGCAACACAGTGGCTCGTTGCAGTTGGCATTAGAACCTTCCACATAATGTGGGTCGTAATGTGTGTCTGAGATGTGTAGCACTTTGAAAAATGGAGCCGCCTCTTTTGGCACACCCAGCTCTGCAGCCGGAGGTTTCGGTACTGGCGGGAATATCACCTCCCACTCATGGTATGGATTGTAAACGTCGCCGCAAGCATCGCCAATAACGAAACTACAAATCTCATCTGGCCCGAGATTGACGCGCTGAAGGACGTAGATCACTTCACTACCGAATAGTGTCGACACTCCCTCGCAAACGCGTGGGCTTTGTATATTGAGATTAACACAAAATTCGTAAATCAATTTAATGATCTCCGCCTCCGTTTTGCCAGCGCGGATATAGTGCTGCAGCAAGCCAGCCCCTGCTTTGCAAGCTGTGCAAGACACTTTGGACATTACACTGTTCTCGATCTCGAAAGCCACTTGTTTAAGATTGAAAAGCTTCAGCGCCTTATCCACGAAGGGCGGATAATTGAGGCCATCAGGTGTAGTGTCGTACCAAAGCATGCGCGCCATTGTGTCATTGCGCTTGAGCTGCCGCAATCGCTCCAGAAACGCTTCATCGCTTTGTCCAGGGTTGGGATCGGTGCGGTGCGAAAACTTTTTCAGTTCTACGTGCGGTGTAATGCTGCGTGGTGCTAACTCTATTTCCCAGTTATCCTCTGGAGCAGTCCAATTTATGAGTTTGCGATTAGTGTTGAAGACAAATGGGAAACCTACATGAGGAGAGAAGGAAAGCAAACGATTTTTCGTAACTACAATTTACATACATATATATAAACGCACAAATGAAAATAATGTAAAATTTGTTTTTCGCTTTTACCTTGGGTCATGTGGATGAAGCTCATGATTAGTAATATTATGGCTGAAAGCAGAACGCGCCATCGTAAAACATGCCAACAGGTTGTCATAGTGCGAGAAATTGTATGATTGATGTGAACAGGCGAAATATTTGCTCGGATCTGCTAGATTTTTCGAATCTAAGTTGGAGCGTCCACTAATTCTGCTATAATGAGGCGTATGTATAAACTAAAATACGGAGAAATAAATTTTTATTAAATGGAAATCGTTTTCTAAACATAATCATATGCATAAATATGTACATACATATGTATGTACATATGTAAGTATACATATATTTTTAGAATTGATAACATTACAGCAAGAACAAATTTTTGCCTGCAAAATGTTCCCGCTCAGTCATTGTAATTACAAAACTTTAATTAGAAACGCGAAGCAAAGCGCAATTAAAGTTCAAATGAAACTTCCTATAAAGAAAAGGCGAAGATAATTTGAAACTAATCAGGCGCCAAACGCGCATTGAATGCCTTCCACTCGAAAATCAGTTTCAGTTATTACTCAAGTAACACAGCTACGTTCTGCTTTTCCTTATTAAAAACCATTCGATTGCATACGCCACCCAGTCTATTGGGCTGTTGGGCATAGTGTATTGTGCCCGTCATCAGTTGACCAAGCAATAGAAGAAGCAGACGAAATGCGAATATGCAACGTTGCTACCTCAAATGTTAAAGTGGAAAAGTTGAGATGAGATTTTAGTAAAGTTTCCGGGTGATTCATCATAGTGCTTTCTGAGCTGTTTGTCAGCAGTGAATGTATGATTCTGTTTTCCAGTAAAAAGTCCTTAAACAGTGAATATTAATTGGGCAATAGCTGACCTAAATACAGTTGTTAGGTTTTGGAACTTTAGAGGCGGGAGAATCTGGTTAAGGCTAAGTTATTTGCAGTGAACTCGTGATTACGTGAACACCCTTCAACATTGGCTAACCTACAACGTAAGTAAATAAATTTAGAAAGCCCAATGACTTGAGCATAAATCCAGTAAATTTGGTCAAACGATTTTTTTATACAAGCTTTAGTTTGTTGGGGGGGCGCAGGAATTCGTTTCAAAATGGTGACAGGTAACAAGATCAACGGGAATAATGTCAATTTACACTTTTTCGCATACTGGTGTGAAATAAAGTCAATTGACAATTTACCTTTTCAAAAGCGAAATAAAATCCATTGACATTATTGCTCTTTCAAACATTAAATTTGCGCAGCGCCGCGGCGCGGCAGGTCTCGACGCGGTTTGGCGGTTTGAAATTTAATAGTGTTCGCTTTATTTTTGTGGAACCTAAAAATGTTTTGAATGTTCTTGATCATTTCTACATTCTTTCTTCAAATAATTCTCGTATTCTAGCCATATATGTAATACTTCTATATTGGCAGTAAGCTAACTTCTCAATGTGTAAGCATTCCGAAATCAAAGCGAGACAGTCTAGTACCGTTTTTGTCAATGTGTTGTGTACTTGAGTGCCGTTTTTGTATATGTGTACATGTTTATTTATAAACGTATGTGTTCCTATTCTTTCGTACGTGTTTATTGATATATCTGTACTATAGTGTTTTCGGACAGTACTAGCTCTTACTGCCAATATAGGAGTATTACATATATGATTCTAGCTCTTTCTGGGTTTGGTTTTTCGCATCGTGTTTTTATTATAATCGTAAGTTTAATTATTTTAATAAAATCAATTGGTGGCGGTTCATGATTGTGTGTTTATTAATAGCACACGGATGATTTCGCAATAACCTCTTTCATCTATGGAAATAACACTTTTGAGGCAATGTTTATTGTAACATCATTCATATCTCACGTACGATACAAGATTAAAATTTTTTTATTTGAATCGACATAGTACTTTAAGCATTGTTGACGCTATTTCCATTTGAATGAGGAAATAGCATAATTTACTTTGTTTCCGAATTTTTGTTGGCTTTATTTCGCTTTTCAAAAGGTAATAATGTCAATTGACTTTATTTCGCACCAGTATATGAAATGGTGTCAATTGACCTTATTTCCGTTGATCTTGTTACCTGTCACCTTTCAAAATAGTTCACGTTATAACGGATGCACTGTTATAGTTTTTTTCCATATCGTAATAAAAAAGCAACAAAGCTGCTGTATCGTTTTAAAGTTTTGCAAAGGAAATAATCTACTGCGTGCCCTGTTCCAGAATGTAAATCAATATGCATACTTCAGTTCGAGTTTAAGGTTAGTAATTAGAGGATTTTTGCATGGTGGTCAATTTCTTTTGAATACAGCAAACATTGTGGTCAAATCCTATTGGAATTGAGCTTCCACATACTAATACCAACGTTGGAGAATAGATTTGTTGGATCCCTAAAAGGTATGTCCCTCTAAGTTAGAAAAAAATATGACCTCTAGCTTTTTTTTGGCGATTTAACAATTATTGCCGCCGGATATCTATGGAATGGTGGGTCGTTGTGGCCCTATTTTATAATTAGGTCTAAAAATAATTTTTTTATTAGAAAATCACGATTGAAAACAATCTGTTACAGTTTACTAATTTAATCGATGATCTCCTCAATTATCCTTAGGGTTCTTTCACTGGATTGCTAAATAAAAGACGAAAGTTTGCTATACAACTTAACTGAACTTTTCGTCAAATACATCACCTCTTAATACTTGTTACACATTTGAACTTTTCTCTATGTGTAGCTCGTTATTTACAACTTCCTGTGCACGGTTGCAACGCTTTCACATACATATTTATATACCTGTGTTCCCATATATTTTAGCGAACATTCCTGGCAAATCTTGAAACATTATTATCGAAAACTCATGCCACCAAACTTCTGTCTGCCTTTCTCTGCTTTGTCTTGAGCTTTCATTCGTATTTAGCAGTATTCGATAAATACAACAATTCTGAAAAAAGAATGGCAAAATTACAGATCACACTTCAGCCATTGGTATAGATAAAAACTAGCTTGGTTATATGATACTCCTGGGGGGAGCTTCTGTAACCAGTTAGCGACAATTTTCGGATCACTATCGCAATTGTTGACGTATGATAGGAATGTGTTTGCCTCAACTAGTGCGATAGCGATCAGAAAATTTCGCTAACTGGTTACAGAATCTCCCCCTGTACAATTGCATGTCGAATATACTTTGAATATTGTTACAAATTTACCACTTTAAGGATGTCACGTAACGCCCTATTTCCACAACACTGACAAAATTCATCATATGACTATTGTCACAATTACTGCGCCTAAAACAAAATATAAACATTGTTTCGCCGTTGTCACTTACTCAGTAGGTCATAACAATAAAACTGACAATTGTCATACGACAGCTTAAAATAAATTTGCGGCATAGTATTAGGCGCAGTAGTAAAGGCAAAAGTCAGCCGCTGAGTTTTGTCAGTGGTGTGGGAATGGGGCAGTTAATTTTCACCAGTAGGTGCGGCTGGAAGCGGGTGTTATGCTTAGAAGAAGCGGCTTGCTATGTAAACGTGTATTCGGTTGCGAAACTACCTCCGTCCGAGCAATGGGATGTACGCTGCACAGTGGTTCTGATCGCATATCTCGCTGGTCGAAACTATTTAAACAAATACCCTTTGATGGATTTTTACACCACTTCTTATCTAAGGGATTTTTGGGTCGCTGATTACGAATCTGAAGTCGCTTACTAAAAATTCAAAATGGTGGATCTAATACGGCGGCCGAAAAATTTAGAAAATCGGTAGATTTCTTTGAAACTGGGTATCTTAGGGTTTTATTATTATTATTATTATTATTATTATTATTATTATTATTAGAAAACAATGTATTGCACATCTAAGACAATGTATTTTTATAGTGCATCGAGCGTGGTACATGTACAATATTTATGTTTTATATCAAATTAATACTTTAGAAAAAAAAATTTACATAATTATTACATTTAATCTTAAATTAGAATTAATGCTAGGAGACATTTTAAGCTAAAGAAAAAGAAATGAATAAGTAGAAGAAAGAGGAAAAGTAGAGAACAGGAGAATAAAAAGAAAAGTGAAAAATAGAACAATTGCAACCACATCCAAGATTTAAATTCTTTTAAAGTAATCGTATATTATTACTTTGCAGTTTCCGCTATTCAGCTTAGCCTTGGTAGATTCAGGTATGGCATTCCAGAGTCTCACAGCGTTAACAAAGAACATTCTGGAAGAAGTCAAGTACGTGTTCTTAGGAACAAGCAGAATTTGATGTCGCCTAGACTTAGTCATAGTTAGCTTTTCATACAGATATTTTGGAGATCGGGACTTCATCAATCTGTACAAAAATATGCAGCTCCTCGCTGCGAGATAATTGTGGTGTATAAGATGCAGAAATCCTTAATCGACGTAACACAGCATAAACGCTACTTACAACTTTATTAACATGATCACGAGGACTCACCTTGGGAGTTAATAATAAAACCTAAATTTTTAATTTTTTCATTAACCGTTAGGGCACTAGTTTCTATATAGAATTCAGGGATATCATCAAGATGGATTACACTATTACTAATTGGCAATACGAAGGATTTTGCAGCATTTAAACACAAACAATTATCACGAGCCCAAGCAGATACCGCAGACAAGTCACTATTAATTTTACAACACAAATCATCAACCAGACCAATACGACTAGACAAGTACAGTTGAATATCGTCAGCATATGCATGTATATTCACGTATCGACACACAGAGAACACATCATTAACAAAAGGACTGAACAACAACGGCCCAAGTACAGATCCTTGTGGAACACCAGAAACAATATTTCTTGCCTGAGAGGAAGTATCTCTTCCTTTTCCTTTCTGCTTCGTTGAATCTAAAGTGATTTACTTAAAATTCAAAATGACAGGTAAAAGCATTTGCTCGCCTTTTCAAGCAAATTGTGAAACTAAGCGCGATTGGTATATTTTTTTTTATTCTATGTAACTATTTGAAGGCCATAGAATATATTATACATAGTGTATTTTAGGATATACCGACTTACATATAAACTACCTATATTTTAAAATGCATACATATGTGTCTGACGGAAGAAAGTTAAGCGGTTAAGAAAATTTCAAAATCTCCACGAGAAATATCCGTATACAAAGTAAAACGAATCTCCACCGGATTCAGATCCAAAAATAGCCAAAATTTATTGTTTATTGTGTTATGAACTGTAATTAACCCTATAATGGCTTTTATTATAATATTACTCTTAAATTTTTTTTAAGTGTGTGTATTTTTTATGGTCGCAGACTTATATGAAGCCGCATTTCGGATCCGTGGTGAGTGCGCTTTAAAATTCTAAAAATGGGGTTTTCTCCATATAAAAATTTTTTTTCTTAAAAGGTAGGCCATATTATACAAAATTCCATAATTTCTTGATTTGGGACCAGTGTGCGCGGTTAGAGAAGGAAATATTATCTTTTGTTGTAAACCTTCTAGATACTTTCTCAACCGTTAACGATTCTGATGAAAAAAGTAAGAGTTTATGTAGATGTTGGACAATTTAGTTTTTAACCTCCATGAGACTTTCAGGCAAGTATAATCGAAAATCTTATTTACAGTCTGAATTGATATATGTTTGACATGTAAATTCGCTATAAATTATGCTGGTGGACTTCAAAATAGTAATTCGCATAAATGAGTTAGTATTGGTGACAGGTAAAATTCAAAAGCGTATAAAAAAGATGTCGAATTTCGATATCCATCAGGATTGTCGAGAATTAAGTCAGAATTTCCCACGACGCGTCGGTTAGAATTCCTGTCAATCTCTATACTTTTCTCTGGCCGATATTGGTCAGAAATCATAAAGATTTCCGACTTTTTTGCCGCCGAGTCTAACGGATATCTGACAAATATCTGGCAATTTTTCTAGCTGGGTATTCACAGATACTACTACTTACAAAACCTCGGCATGCGCAGAACTCACATTTGAACAAAACTATCTCCCTATGTTTGTCAATGTATTGTGGCTTATTAACATTTTATTTTTAATATTTTTATTGAGCTTCGTACCACGATTGTTTATTAGGAAAAATTGAAAAAGCAACAAAGTCTAAGCGGTAGAACTTATAGCAGCTATTTCGAAGATCACCACATCTCCTCATCAGACTTCTTTTTTCTAGACTTCAGCAGGGATCGAACCTGCGTAGAAGGGAAGGAAGTTGGGCGCGCACGCTGGCAAATACAAATTCAGTTCGACCAAACTATATCGAAATGCACGAATTTTTTTCATAGATAAATGCAGAAATGTTTATTACATAAGTTGTTGTTAAAAAATTTCGTCCACGAGGCGCAAAAATTGTTAAATGTTCAATTGTTAATAAAAATATTATTGAAAAGCAAAAAAAAAAACAAAAATAATTTTGTAGCGCAAATAATTTTATTATATATTATTATATTAAATCTGCACCCAAAAAACTTTTGATTCGGACTCTTACTTTGAAAGAAAAAAAAAATTCCAAATTTTCAATTTTTGATTAAAAAACTATTTGGAATTTTGCAACAAAATTTACACAGTGTACTTTTCGACTAGAAAACTTGGCGCTGCCTGAATATCATTGAAAAATATCAATCTTGTTTAATTCGGCGCCCACTTGAGGAAGCCTTACCCACATGATAAAAGATAAAAAAATAAAATTTTCATTCTTGAAGTTTCATAAGTCGTTTTTAAGTTAGAACGAGAGATATGTATATATTTTTGAAGGCTTTAAAAAAGTACTTATAATTTTTCCACAAATTAACTACTCCGAAAGTTACTCAAGCTTAAAACCGAGCATATAAAAAAATCCAGATTTTCAGCGTTCAATTTCCCTTAAAAATATATGTATGTATACCGCTTTTAACCATTTTAGTCGTTTAAAGCATAAGAGTATATTTACATATACATAGATACAAAAATTGTTCCCTTTAAGTACCCATAATATGATTATTTTAGTTGAATATACATTCCTATTAACATTTGTACATATAGTGTACTCACAACTACGTGAAAACTGTCTTATACATAGATACGTGTTAACGGCACAGTTCATCTGATCAAAATTTTGCCATGACAGACGGTTATGGGCATTAAAGAGCCGCAAGGTCTTAGGTTCAAGGCCCACGGCCGGTAGAGTTTTCATTTTTTTATCCATTCAATTATAACTTTTACATTTTTGAGCGTGGTTTCCAGATAGTTGTTGTTGACGTTTTTTATAAAACTTAACTCTGAAAATTTTAATTAACTAATAATAAAATTATTATTATGAAATAAAGTCAAAACAAAAGAAAATAAAACACATAAATTAAAGAAAAAAGTAAAATAAATAATAATAAAATAACAAAACTTTTTTTGCAATCGCTCCAGTCACCTTATATGGCAACATTATCAGAGTGCAACATTTTAGACAAAGAGCACGTAATATGCATGTGAAGATGCTGAGAAAGGAACACGAAAACTTTACATCCCTGGCGTAGGGCAGAATAAATGCAACATTATTTCGAGAAAAGAAAACGCTATTCGATTCCAGACGATCCCAAGATGTTAAAATATTAAAAAAAATTTGTTTTGCATTACAAAACTATGAAAAAGCATCTGCATATCTATGTAAAGTAAACAAGCCCTTTTTCGATAGTTCCGAACTAGTTCTAAATTCGACAGATAAGATCTAGTTCATTCTGCATTAAATTTTTTATCGTTCCGAAACAATTCTAAATTCGTCACCTTAGATATAAATGTTTAGTGAAAAAAGTGAAATAAAATATTTTTTTAAAAGTACCACATTTCGGTGATTTAGAACTGGTGGGCATCTAGTTACTATCGGACTGGTTCGTTTTTGGCAATAAAGATCTTGTACAGAAGTAGAAATTTGATTCACTACCCTCAAAAAAAAATCGTTGGACCATGTAGTCTATTTAT